GGAAGCCAGCCTCTGTGGCTTCGCCGGTCCCAGGGTCGTTACAACCTGACATATCCACACGCGTGGTTCCAATATAATCGTCTCACGAAACCGCCAGACATTATTTTACGACAATTCCGTGTTATTTTCTATTGTGATTCAAGAAGCAATTTGATTCGAACCGATGATTAGCGAATGTCATATATCGATATACAGGATGTAAGACTTTGCAAGTCGATAGGATATCTTGGTGAGTGCTATAAGCTCACAAAGTCTTACAGCCTTTTTCTTTTTTATAACACCTTTCGTGGCATTATGATAGGTGATAATGACAGGTGGTAATGTTATGAATCGATAGAATTTTTGAAGTTACAGAAAGAAAAATGTATAAAGTTTCAAATATTTGTCGATCGGATAGCTTCAAAATTCGTGGTCACATTGCCCCTTTTATTGCGTTTAGAAATCTTTCATTCGTATCTATGTATCCTTACAAAGTCTACTTCCTACTTTTACATCGATCGACGATTGAATGGAAATTAACATTTAAATCCGGTTTCTTTGCTTCTCTATTCTTTGCACGTTTATTTTAAAGTTGAAGTTTTATTCGATTTGCGTGAACGTTCAAAGAATTATTGCAAATTAGCGATCGATATCGTAAACGTTATTTTACTGATTCGCGATACATGAGATAAGGTTTGGATTCGTGTCAACATTGATAGATAAAACGGCAAAGAAACAGCTGTATCATTGACTAAAGTGAAGAGTGTGGACGATTTGAAGGTCGTTTCCCGGAGACTAACCTACTGAAATATTTTTCTATTTCACTTTACTCGCTCTTACAGAAATATTTCTCCGTCCGATAATTCGCTCTTCGGGACACGAAGCGTCTAATCCGCGCTTCTTTATACATCTTCAAAGCAATTTCGAAACTTTGCAAAATATACTGTGCAATTTATTTCTCGTTTTATGCTGTACGAGAAAGATGAACGCGAGTTTCTAATTTTCATTATCCAGCATAGAAATTTTTAACAAGTATGTATATATTCATAAAAGATATAAAGAAGTTTCCGAATAAATTGACTAAAAGTTCAGGTATATGCCGCTCGAAATTCGCTCGCGTACATTT